GGGACAGATCGGCCCATGTTCATCAGAGAGGATACGATCCAGATTCCTCTGCCGGTGAAGGAGAAGTACTTCCAGTTCGACATGCCTGCTCCAACCGAGATGCTCGATGGTCAAGTTCCTCACCCAGCATCACCCAATGATGGGCAACTTGCTGATGCACGAGAGAACATGGGAGTTGCAGCTTTTCTGATCCGAGCCATCGCACTCTGGGGACGGATCATTACCTACCTTAGCCAAGGGGGAAAGGATCTGGACCCAAACCCCATGTGGGAGGACGAATCTCAATATGTGAAGCATCTCAACGATGTTGTGAATCTTGAAGCCAGTTTACCTTCGTCACTCAAGTACTCCGCTGAGAACCTTGACGTCCACAAGACAGAGAACACGGCAAGTCAATTTCTTTTCATGCATATCTGCCTGCAGCATAACATCCTTTTTGTGAGTCGAGCAGCGATGTCAGCGCGAAAGCAGCAAGGTGTTCATGACGACTTTTTCTCTGAAGCGAGTAAGAGGACTTTCAGTGCTGCGAATCAGATATCTGAGCTCCTTCGCGAAGCCGAACAATCGCGATGCTTTGTTTCGGCACCCTTTGCTGGATACTGCGCCTTCTCCTCCACAACAGTCCACATACTGGGTGTCATATCTGGAAATCCCACCATGAAGCCAACAGCCGAAGCCAATCTGACCACCAATGTCAAGTATCTTCACAAGATGAAGAAGTATTGGGGCATGTTTCACTGGATGGTGGAGAATGTGCGCACTCAGTATCGAAATGCCCTAGACGCCATGAGAGCCGGTGCAAATCTGCAAGACCGTGCAGCGCAATCGTCTTTCCTACAATACGGAGACTGGTTCAACCGGTACCCGCATGGCCTCTCTGATGCCGAATTCATGGACCCTGCCACCCACAAACGGAAGGATTCGGGAGCAGATGGCGTTCTGGAAGCGAAGCCCGAGCTGCAATCGGTGGAAGAATACTTCTCCACGCTTCCAACACCCCAGAGTGTTGAGCATAAGGATGCCATCCGCGCTGTGGGACCCAAGAGGAAGCAGAGCGCCAAGAAACAAGCTGGTTTGCCGCCACAGTCAGGTCAGCATCTCGAGTCCATACAAGGGACAGACGCGGACTCGGTCTCTGGGGCTCAGGAACGTAGGTTCTCGGGTGGGTTGGGACTGCCCTCCAACAGTTACAATCCCCTCGCAGTATCAAACGCGCAAAACCCAGCTTTCAGCACAGCTATGTCGCCTATGAGTCCGGCCAACATGACGGCGTTCTCCCATCATGCCCACACCCCCACATTCTTCCCTCCTGAGTTGCTAGCCATGAACTTTGGACAGGGCGCGAATGGAAATATTGACCCCCTTGATCGTCAGCTTGTCTTCGGAGGATATTCCTTGGACGCCAGCACGGGGTTGGGTGGTGGTCAGGATATAATAAGCGGCCTTGACTGGGACGCTGTTGCTTCGGGAACCCACCCCGATGGAGGCTTACAAGGTCGGCGATCTACAGCTAAGGCGGGCATGAATGGGCAAGCAGCTGGTATGGCTGATGGAGCAGGGCTTAGCGGACCGGAAGCATCGTCCGCATGGTTCATGCCATTCAACATGGAGCCTCCAGAGATGGGCCAAGATCCCGGCTTCAACATGGGTGGAATTGACCCATTTACGGGAGTATTTGGGGGAGGGGGTAGTGGTTTGGCAACGCCGAATGCATTGGGTGGGCTACAGCAACAGGGTCCTTAGGAGGGACTGTCGGAGTGGTTAGCCTGGGTAACGCCATATTCCCGGAGGTCTTCGCGGCCACACAAGTTCACTGGGCCACGATATTGACCTAGGTAGTGTGGCCAGAAGACATTGTCAGCCAGGACTTGAATCTGAAGAAGGCCACGAGCCTTGGGTGACGTCTTATATTTTTCTCCTTTTTTTTTGTTCGTTATAACTTTCCACATGGGAATCTGTACCAGAGATAAGGCTGGATTTGGTTGGGTATTGGCGAAGAGGCATATTGAAGTTTGTATGGCGAACATTGTCGGACGTGTCATCTAACCGTGGGGGGAAAGGAAAATTGTGTTTTAAGTACTTGAGATACCATCATACCCGTCATGCTCATTGAGAGATGAGTTGACATTCGTTTGCCAAGAGATGAGATAATTCGCTAAGAAGAAATCAAAGTTTCTGAAATGTTGTTGAATTGAATGCATCTTGCTTTTGTGATGGGACGGGCTCAACTCTTCTACTTGAAAAGACAGCCTAATGTAACTAGAAATACAAGATGAACGCCTGGTTCTTATTATGCTATCGCAGTGGTATCTTGATCGATCCCCCCAACATCCTTCTATTCCTCCGCTGTAGTGGTAGTAGCACTCTTCTTGCCCTTGGACCTCTTTCGCTTCTTCTTCCTCTCACCAACATCGCCTACCACGTTATCCTCCTCGCCATCTTCTTTCTTGTGCTTCCTCTTCTTATCACTCGCAGGCTCGATCACGGCGCCACCAGCGTCTTCATCGGCAGAGATCAAGCGCTCGAAGCCGTATGTAGGACCGTCGCGCTCGTACTCCTTTCCAAAGATCTCACGACGCCACTGGCGTAGACGAGCCTTCTTACCGAGACGCTTCTTGTCTTTGCGCTTCTTCTCCTGGTCGCGGAAGGTGGCAAGTTTCTTGAGTCCAGCATAGTCGTTGAGGGCAGCGTCGGAGGGAGCGAGGAGAATATCGCGCGCTGTCATTCCAAAAGATTGAGGGGAGGTCTCGCGGTAGCGGAAAGGAGCATGAGATGATTGCTTGAAGATGGCATGGTCGGTAAGCTCAAGTTTGGAGTCGACAAGAGCCTCAAGCTTGGCGCGCTCCTGACGAGCTTGCTTCTGGGACTCCTTGCGGGCCTTCTTGTGGTCTGTCTTGCGCTTCTTGGCGACCCGGCCGTCCTCGTCCTCGTCTTCCTCGTCCTCGCCCGCCTGGGCGTCGTCTTCGACATCACTTAGGCTAATGTTTGGCTTCTCTTCATCGTCCTCAAAATCTGGAATGATATCTTTGATGTCGATATCATCATCCCATTTTGGCTTCTTGGGATGCTTGGACTTCTTCTTCCCGCCTTCTTGTTCCTCGTCCTCTGATGCCGCAGCATCGTCTTGTTGAGCATAGTAATCGTCACCAAATCGCTTCCTCATCTCCTCTTCCCACTTGTCATCCTCCCATGCGTCGTCGAGGAACTTGATCCAGTCCTCATCGGTCAGATCCTTGCCCGCATTGCCAGCTGTGCGCTTGATCTTGCGCAGCTTTTCCTGGGCCTCATCAAGCTTGAGCTTCTTTAGACGAGCCTTCTCCTCACGCCTCTCTTTCTTCTCGGCCTCCTTCCGCTCACGTTCAAGTTCGCGTTGACGCTTGCGACCAGTCTTCTCCTCACGCCTGACTGACTTGGCTGCGGCAACATCACGAGCATATGATCGAAGGAATTCGTTGCTCCGCTCTGGGTCCTCGAATCGCAAGTTGTAAGCCTGTTCGAACTGGTCGGCGCGGTCATCATCGTCCTCTCCTTCATCCGACTCGAACGCTTTCCAGTTCGAACCATCTGGGGGGACCCAGGCACGCGCGCTCATGAAATTTGATAAGAAAGTCTCAGGGTTCTTGTCGGCGTTGGCAACATCAACCTCGGTGATGGCCATGGCTGCTTTGCGCGAGGGGTGTACACCATTTGAGTCCGTCTTTTCTGCTTCCTTTCGCTTCATGAAACCACCATCCTCGTCGTCAGAGTCCTCATTGGCGGCAGCATGCATCTCAGCCACGATTGAGTTCTTGAGGACATCTTGTTCCTGGTTGTAGGTCATGGGCACATCCTCGTCGGCATCCTCGGCACCAGTGTCGCCTCGCATGTACTTTTCTCGGTGATAATCCTTTAAGTAGACTGGCTTTTCCTTCTTTTCCTTCTCGGTTGCTGTGGTGGCGGGGTCATCGGGCTTGTAGAAGGTCACTTCCTTGTCGTAGACCTTGGGATCCTTGTTTCGAATGGCTTGGAGAGTGGCAGAGATCTGGGCGTCGAGATCTTCAGTAGCAAGAAAGCCATCTTCATCTTCCTCCTCGTCAGACGAGGATGACTCGTCGTCGTCGTCGTTGTCTGGCTGCCTTCCTGTATTCTTGAACTTCTCCTCTAGTCTTTGTCTCTCTTCTCGCTTCTTGTTGTGCTCGAAACGACGGGCAAAGTCCTCGTTCACCTTGAAGCCCGTCGTAGCGATAGCGGCGCCTCCATCTTCTGATTCGGAGTCGCTATCATCGAGGAGGGTGCGTTTGGTGTTTTTGGGATCCTCGGTGGACTTTCCCATGATGGAGATAGTTCTTGAGAGCAAGCCAGGGATTGTCTAAAGAAGCAATTGGTCCTGCGTTGAGAGAATGAGTGTAAGAAGAGACTGCAACAAGCGACACTATCTTTATAAACGAGACCCAATTAGAGCTTCCATGCGCTTGTATCAACTTTTTTTTTCTGCCGCTTTGAAAATTTGGCGGGGAGTCGGAACATGGTAAAATATTAAACCGAGTATATTGACGTCAACCAATCAAAGGCTACTCTTTTCTTAGCTGCCTTGAGCGCTGGCAGCGGCTGCATGTGGCTTCGTCATCAGGGAAACGAACTGACCAACCCCGACCACTAAAAGCCTCTAGAAAAGCGCCTGGAACTGGGCCCTTTCGCCGCTACGGCTGCTACCTCCTTAGGTACCTACACTCCATGCAGGGTGCTTCTACAATAGATACTGTACCGACTCGACTGACCTCCACTACTAAACCAACCTTGCGGTAACTCTACCTTACTTACTGACGTCGCGTCTTTACCTCCTCTGCCCCAGGCAACTTTCATCAAAACCATTAGCCTCCCGATAATCTTTCTGTCTTTAATAACCCCCCGTCTACGCTACGTGTCCGCTTTTTTACGACGATACCGGTCTTCCGACTTGCCTCAACCATAAAGAAACTACTTCATCCAACTTGACCTCATCTCCGAGCGATCCCGCAATCATGGCCGACTCTGCCAACGCCCCAAAGCCCAGCAGCAGCGTCAAGCTGGTGCTTCTCGGTGAAGCCGCCGTCGGAAAGGTGAGCTTGAACAATCACATGCTGCGAAATCATCTCCTAGCATACTAATTGAGCGAATAGTCGTCTCTCGTTTTGCGCTTCGTTAACAACGACTTCCAAGAAAACAAGGAGCCCACTATTGGTGGTATGTATCTTGAGACCTCCCCAGTCCTTCTATTGCGTCGCTGACAGTTGCGTCAACAGCCGCTTTCTTGACCCAAAAATGCAATCTTCCCACAAGGACAATCAAGTTTGAGATTTGGGATACCGCCGGCCAGGAGCGCTTCGCCTCGCTGGCTCCAATGTACTATCGAAATGCTCAGGCCGCTCTCGTCGTTTATGACCTCACCAAACCCACATCTCTGATCAAAGCCAAGCACTGGGTCGCAGAGTTGCAGCGACAAGCATCTCCCGGCATCGTTATCGCACTGGTTGGCAACAAGTTGGATCTGACGGGTGACTCGGGCGCTGCTGCTGATGGTGAAGATGGCGAGGAAGGTGACGACTCTGGCGACGCACGCAAGGTTCCAACAGAAGAGGCTCAGGCATACGCGGAAGAGGAGGGTTTACTATTCTTTGAGACCAGTGCCAAGAGCGGGCATAACGTTACCGAGGTTTTTACAGCCATCGCAAACGCCATACCCGAGACTTCATTGAAGAGTGCTAGAGGAGCTGGCGCATCGAATGCTGCCAGCCGGGCAGGCGAGGAGCAAAGAGTAAATCTCGGTGGTCCCAAGGATGTTGGTGCTAAGGATAGCTGCGCTTGCTAGACGGAGTTGAGTGGTTTATGGGTCGATGAGGGTGAGAGGATGAGTTGGAGGTGCACACGACAATTGATTTTGTTGCACGTTATGCTGCCCTTTTCCTGCGAGCCGTTTGCTTGGGATCGATGCTGAGGAGAACATGGGAGTTGACTCTGCGGTTTTTATCTTTTCTTTTCCTGTTACTACCTAGCTGAGTTTTGTTGCGGCATGTATGGACAATTAGTGGTCTTGTCTATCTCTTTCTCGTAATAACAAAACTGATGGACTGAGCATATACCACTTCCAAAAAGGGTCGGGCGAGAGTTTCTTTGATAACAGGAACTACTACTAAGGTGCCAGTGTACCTCTCATGTGCTCTGCCTGACAATATCAGTCGCTAGCCTAATCCAAACAATGACTCAATAAGTTCAAGTTCCCTGCAAACTCAGTAAATTACATCTCCATGATTCAGAGTCATTCTCGTATCTGAACGCTCTGCTAGTTATCGATTATTTCAGCTCACCTCAATCACACCTCACTCAGTACGAGTTGCGGTGATTTACCTCGCTCAACCAATCCGCAGTCGAGACATTATTTATGGTTCGGCCTTTGCCTTTTAGCCCACCAAATCCTAACCTTCTGGTTAGGTATAAGTATTCGGTACTTGTTCATTTCTTGCTGTTTTGGTCGCATGTTCCTTGAATCACAACTCTCTTATTGGTCACGTGATCACAGTCGGATTCTGCCGCCTCTACTCTGTACCTGTTGGGCTTGGCGTGTGTCTGTGACCCACTCTTTTTTACACGATTTTGAACCTCATCAGAGCCCTTTAGCAGCCAGTTGCTGTTGGCCTTTGCGTCAGAAGCAAACAGGCCTGGCTTCTTCTCTCTTTATACTAATCATTTTCTTTTCTTCACTGTTCTTTGACCGAGTTGAACTACTGCATAAGTACCCACCTTTACTTAGCTCACTTAGTAATTCCCTAACGTCGCGCCAATCGATCACAGTGACTGTGATTCTGTTGCACCAGAACCTTTGAAAAAGATCGGCCTTGCTGCATATCTATCTGCCTGAGCAAAACCTCTTCCTCCTCTGCTCTCCTCTTTTTTTTCTACCATCATTTTTTACAACACACAGCCTTCCCATGACGCTTCTTCTGCTATCTTAGGCTCTGTCCTTGGTTTCGGGGCTGCTCCGTCACAGATCAGCAACATTTCGCCATGGCATTAACAATCACGGAAGCTCAGGCGGAGCTGATTCGGTATGTTACACAGCCTGAATGAAAGAGCGCGCCAATGCGCAAGCTAATGCCCTTCTGCAGGTCCCTTGCGCCCGACGATATTCCAATCAAGTTGCGATGCGCGATCTGTAGTAAGCTCGCGGTCAACGCCTACCGTCTTCCTTGTTGCGAACAGGCAATATGCGAATCTTGTACGCGATGGGTCCCTACAAGCTCGCCCACTACATCCTCGTGCTAACACTGCGTCAAGGTCAATCCAATCTACCCGCGTCGTGTCCTGTTTGCGAACACTCACCCTTGTCCGCCGAGGACTGCAATCCCAATAAATCATTGAGGACCACAATCAGGGTCTTCCTGCGCACTGCGGAGAAGAAACGCGAGGCAAGCCGACCGAAGGAAGACAAAAACTCAGAACCAGCGACGCCGGTTGAGGCGCCTAAACAGAATCTCCCTACAACCGAAACATCTGCCATCGAGACACCCATAGAACAGATTTCGGGGGGCGACACGCCATCATCAGTACAGGTCTATAGCGCCGAGAGGGTTAATGAAGGCGCTCCTGCTCCACGCGTAGTCCAGGTACTTAAACTTCTGATTCTCCCTTCGTCAAGGCCTTTCCACTAACATATTTTCTTTCAAAGGAGAATATTACTCATCATGACGACACTCCTGCCGCTGAGAGTCCGAAGCAAGTTGAGGCAGGTGATGCTCAGGGCGCACCTGCCGACGGCAGTATAGAGGACGCGCCCATCGAAAACAAATCCGACGAGCAAACTCTTGCAACACAAAATGGCGAAGGAGGAATCAACGGCGTCGACGGAGAAAACGAACAACAAATGGAGGCCGAAAACGACAAGGACCAAGATCAAGACCACGATCAAGAGAAGCCCGATTCAGACTCAATGAATGGCAATTTTCCGAATGGCTCATTCTCCAACTCCGGTGACTTCAACCAGATGCAGATGATGATGGCTATGCAGAACGGAATGGCGCCAAACTCATTCGGTGGCTTTCCCATGATGGGTAAGTTTACAGTGAAATGAATCAGACAGCGCACACGTGACGATAAATGCTGACATGTACGTCTATAGGTATGCCGGGCATGGGCATGGACCCAATGACGATGCAGAGCATGTACATGAACGGTGGCTTTCAAGGCATGGCAATGAACGGCATGGGCGGTTTTGGAGGTGGATTTGGCCAAGGCTCCAATAATAACTGGAACGGTTCACAGTCGTGGAATTTCGACCAGAATAATTACAATCAAAATGGTCCTGGCATGGGAACTGGTGACTTTGGAGGCTTTAACTCAGGATTCCAGACAGGATACAATCAAGGTAATTATGGTCAATTCAATGACTATCGCCGCAACACTTTCGGACGTGGTCGAGGCCGTGGCCGTGGGTACTACGGAGGATATGGCCGTGGAGGTTACCAGTTCGGAGGCAACCCAAACTATCACGATCAGACACAAGGCCAATTTCCGCAGGTTGGGCCCGGTCAGAATGGTCAGAACGGTGTCGATCAGGGTGATGGCCAGCAGCATGTTGATGAAAGCGGTCAGCCCATTCAGGGCGATAGCGCTGAGGGCCATGTTGATGCCGGACAAGCTGATGGATCCAGTGAGGCCATAGGCAATGCGGATGCCGCTACCGGTGATGCTTCCTCTACAACACGTAATACGGGACCTGGGAACTCAGACCTTGCTCAGGGTAATGTTTCCGGTGCTGTTCGTCCAGTTGCAGCCGCTGATGTTCCTTTGAATGCGCCTACTGGGCCCAAGGCTATGAGACAGGGGCTCCCTAACACAAGTCTTCATCATCTTCGAGCACGCGGTTACCAGGTGGGAAGTGAAGTCCCTCCCTCTAAACCGGTTGGAATGAGAGATAGCCCAGCAGACCGAGGCCGATCCCGGTCCAGGAGTAGTTCTCCAGCTCCAGTTCCTACTGACGCTCGTGAAAAGGACAAGGATCGTGACACCCGTCATGAGCAGAGCAAAGAGCGACCTCGCGACCATGACAAACGCGACCGAGACCGAGACCATGACCATGACCATGACCAAAGAGGATCAGCATCTCGAACCGTCAGCAGAAGTCGTAGTCGCAGCAGGGGACATCGAAGCTCCCGTCGACGTAGGCGTCATCGCTCAGAGTCTGTTGAGGACGAAGGCTATGATGACGATTCGCGACGCAAGAAGCATAGAAGCCGGCGTCACTTTCACGACGATGAAGAGTCTTCACGGTCCAAGGAGAAGGATAAGGATGAAAAATATACTGACCGGAACCGTTCCGCATCGCCAGCTGAATCCAAAAGATCAAGCCACCGCAGCCGTCGAGATAGAGACTCGGACAAGCGGAGGGATCGAGAAAAAGACAAAGATGACGATCGCAAAAAGTCCAACCACCGCCCCTCCCAGCGGGATAGAGACTACGACCGCGACCGCCGACGGGAAAAGGACAGAGATCGCAAAGATCGACATCGGGACAGGGACAGACGCGATCGCGACCGCGACCGTAACCGAGAAAAAGAAAAAGAAAAGGACAAGGGTCGGGAAAGTGGCAGGGACCGGGACAGAGAACGGGACCGCGATCGAGGATCTAGATATAGCAGCAGACGCGAGTCGATTGATGCTGGAGACTCGAAGCCTATTTCTGGTCCTCGCGGTCACGACACGAAAGTGAAGACCAGCTCTTCGAATCGCAACGAGCACTCTGGAAAGGACCCACACACGCTCGAGCGAGAGGCTCGGGATCGCGAGCGTTTGCTCAAAGAAGCGCAACGTATCGCTGGTATGGCGGGTTGGAAACGTAACCGGGGCGATGACGGCGACGATGCAGGGTCGCGCAAAGGCCGTCGGACCGGCTCGTCAACGTCTGCTGCTGCATCACGTCGAAACGAAGTTATCAATGGTGGTGACGAGGAGGAGAGAATGCGAAGACTCGAGGCAGAAAGGGAGGGTGATCGATGGGGTTAGAAACTCAAACGGTCCTCCAAGAAACGTGCCCCCAAGTCGATAAGACAATGAAAGGCATGTTCTGATCATTTCTCACTCTGCCTTAATCTCAAAGCTTTACAAGATGAAAGCAACATCTATCCTCCTTTTATTTGTTCACAATCAGGTGTTGGCGGCTGATGCATTATGCGGAATCAAATCTTCCATGTACGAGTAGCTTAAAAAAAAAGAAGGGGAAAGGGAAAAGGTTGTTGCATTAAAATCAGAAACACTTACACGAGTTTTCATCGGGACGCCAGCTTATGGTTCAGCTAGGCGACGGGGAGCGAGGAGCGAGGATCATGGATCAAAAGACTTGAAAATATGTTTGCAGGTTAGAGGTAGCAGGGCCTTACTTGGCAGTTTTGCAGGTGTCGTGAATCGAATCCTGTCTTGAAATGAAGACGCGCTCTTGGAGTCATCATTGTATACAGTCAGCGTTGAGGTGAGGTCGTCTATCCATCCATGAGTTACACATTGCATCGACTTTGCGTACATTGCATAAAGGCAAGCAAGGCAGTCGTCAGCATAGCTGTCACTGGAACATGGTAGACAAATTCTTGGATGCGTATGTCGGCACGGCCTTGAGAAGTCTTCCAGTATTTATTCATCCTCTCCCCCACCCCATTCCT